TCATCGTCGGTGGCCGGAAACCCCGCGGAGGCCATGTAAGTCTTCAAGTCACGGTGGCTGAGCTTGCCGTCTCCGTCCTTGTCCATAACCCTGAAAACCTCCTCCATGGCCCCCCACGCGCTTGGCTCCGCGTTTCCCGCGACCACGCGCTCGAACTCCTCGTACTCCACGAACCCGTCCTTGTTCGTGTCGGCCACCGTCATCATTGCCCCGATCGCCTCCTCGCCGCCGCCGCTGCCGTGGAGCCCTGCGTAGAAGGCGCGGAGGTCGTCGCGGCTGATTCTTCCGTCGCGGTCGGCGTCGAGGACGTCGAATGCCGGTCGGAAACCGGAGGCGAGGGTTCGACCGGAAGGGCACATGGTTTGTTTGTGTCGCGTTTTGGTGTTCGAGGAACAGCGAGGTTGAGGTTGGGATGCTTGGGGTTTTTTTGTTTTTGGCTTGTGAGATGTAAATCATGTAATGAGAATCGTCTTAAATAGAAAATTTTGCGAGTTTGGGCCCCACGATATTCGGAGGGGCTGGCTTGGGCAGCAAGGGTTTTTTTTATTGGACCATTGGGTTCTGTTTCGGCCACTCGCTGCGTTACGTATGCGATGACATCATTGGGCTTTTTGGATCTTATTCTAGCACCAAAATACACGGACACATTTTTTTTTTTGGGTTGAAATTTTGAATAAGGTGCGTCCCCGTTTCTTGGAAATTGCGAGACTTGTGTTGTGACTTCACTTGTGGACGTGGGAGCGCGGCGCTACAATTATTAGGGTAGACTGTAGACACGAAATAAGGTTTAGGTAGGGCCTTTGTCCTTTGTAGTTTTCTCTCTTGGGTCGGTTCTCAAAATCTTGTTTTATTATTTGAATATAAAAAAATAAATATTAATACTGTATTTAACATTATGTAATGCATTTTATTTTAGAATAAATAATGCGTGCACATCGATCACAAATTGATAATACATGTATGATGTATCATGAGATCTAAATTGGCATATATATGAGATATATGAGGTATTATAGATCTCTTTAATATTGGTTCAATTTCTATAAATAAAAAATTATAACACATGAAATAACAATTATATTGAAAAGTTCTAAAATATTTTATGCTATATTATAATATATATGCATTAAACTCCTGTACATAGTACGTGAAAAAAATTACTTTTACCTTAGTTAACCTTATAGGATATTTTGGGTATTGATTTTTTTATTATATAAGATATTTAAATAATATATTTTTTATTTTATTTCAAATGTAAGTGTGTGTGAAATTTAGTAAAAAAGTATAAACAATTTTTAAATAGTAATTGAAATCTTAATTTATCATATTGGATGGATTAGTATTTATGTTAAATTTAATTCTAATTATTTAACAACATCAATTTTATGTCTTATTGATGTGGGTATATTTGATATTGAGAAATGTTAACGATATATTTTTTATTAGTTAAAATTTATTAAAAATTATAAAATTGTATTGATTTCACTTCTTATTTAATATATTTTTCATAGTTTTTTTTTTGATAAACTTTAACAAATAAAAAATATATTATAAAAAAAAACGTGTTTGAAACTAGAAGGTGCGAAGTTAATAACACTCCTTTGATATTTTAATATATTAGAACAGTTATTGCATTATAATAATACTTAAACTTTATTGCATTAGAAAAGTTTTAACTTTATTTCCATTATTATAATTCTTACGGATAATAAATAAATAAATAAATTATCATTTATAACAATTATTGCATTAATATATATATATATATATGAGAATTAAATAATATTTTTTTATTACATAATTTAAATATATCTTGTAGTTATTTTTTTAATGAAAATTATTTGGTAGTTATTGTTGGTGAAATATTTAACATATTCTAATATACACTTTGTAAAAAATATAGTCTTAGTGTTTTTTTATTATTTATTTTTATATATACATAGAAAAATGTGTTCAGAAATAGTTTTTTAGAACAAGTCTTGCATATCTTTACTAGTAAATGAAGGAATTGAAATTTCCGCATCAGAAAATATTTGAGTAAATATTTATTTGATATGATACAAAAATATGTTATCATAGATGTTTTATTCAAATCAGATATTCACCATGAAAAAACTAGGTTTGATTTTATTTTTTTTTTAAATGGAGTTATAATCAATATTTTTAAAATCATATTAAAGATCATATATTCACTAAGGAAAAAGTTGTGTTTGAAATATTTTCTATATCATATTACAATCAATGTTATTAATATCATATTAATATCGATCAATCTAACTGATTTAACTAAAAACTAAACTCATGACCATCAGATTTGTATTTAAATTGTGATATTAGATTTTTATAATTAGGAATAAAAATAAGTTAGATCAATTTTTGAATAAACATATCGAATCTGTTTTAAAAATAAATTTAAATCTAACTTATTATTTATTATGTATTTTTTAATAAATCTAATATAACTTTTAAAGATTGATACAACCGTTTTAAAAGTTTATTTTATGAGCAACAATTTATTAAATATTAAGTTTCACTCCTTTGCATATTCTGCAAGTGACATTTAAGATTTTTTTATCCATAATTATGACCAACGCTTACTTCAAAATTAACAATTAATTAATTTATACTTGTCAAAAATTTCGCTATTGAAAGTTTGATATGAGACCCATCATGTGATAAGCAATTATTCATGTTGAAATGAGACCCACCATGATAATTGGAGTTTTTGATAATGATTATCTAATTGTTTATGCTGATCATTCTCAAAACATCAACATATGGCTTTTGGCTGATGTAACAAAAGTGAATTTTGTCCTTTTATAATTTTTATTTAATTTTTTTCCGAGTAAAATTATAAAAAAATATAATATCAAATAATGTGCCAAAGCGATGTAAAAATAATTAAATATAAAACATGCAAATTAACAATTTACAATAATTAAGATAATTGTGTGTTTTTTTTCATAAAAATATTTTGAATGGTTTAATTGTCTTAAATCTCATTCAAAATAAATACATATATCAATACTTTGTTGGTTGGAAAAAAAAAAAAAGAATGGGATTAGAGAGATGATTTGTTGTACAAGTCTACAAAATATCAAGTGTCTTGATTTTTTTTATAGAAATATTAACAACCGAGACCAGTTGATATCTTTAATGTATTGATATATATAACATAAAAATAAAAACGTAATAACATATGAAATAAATAAATATATAAACATATTAATCATAATATATTTGACGAGAAAAGGAAATTAATAAAGATAAAATTATATATTTACTAAAATATAAGATAAACTTAGTATTTTCATAAGATTGAACTAGTGGCAAATATTTTGGAATGGAATATACTGAATAATATATTTAATACATATGAAATGGACAAAAGATAAAAATTTGCACAAATAAATAATAAAGGTAAAATATAAAATTGTAAAATAAGGAAAAAAGAGTCGAATGAAATGAAAAGATAAAATATTTATATAAAAAAAAGCTTGATATTTTACCGCTGATTCAAATATTCAATTTTTATGACGTGTAATATATCATCTTCAATTGTCACAATATTATGATTATGAGTTAGTATATTTTTACCTTTGATTTGACAAAATAAAGTAAAATTTATACCAATTGTATGATGATTTCAACATACAAATTACGATAAAAACACATATAATAAAAAATATATGCAAATTATCAATTTATTGTCTAAAATCCAAATTAGGCTAAAATTCAATGAGCCGACCAAAGCGAGATCCATTTTTTTTTTTTTAAGATTAGTTTAGCGATTTAAAATGGGCTTAAACATTTCTAAACCCGATGGGCCAACAATTAAGTTGTAAGCTAATGGGCCGACAAGTTGAAAGTTGAAACTTCATAAGGCTTTTCGACCCAAGAAATAAAAACGAAAGGGCAAAATCGTAATTAACCGAACAAGGACGGTTTTTTAGTCTTTTCACAGAAGTAAAAACCCTAATTCAAATACTGCCATTATATATAAGTCAGAGACTCGCCTTCTTCTCACAAAAGGTTACACAAAACAAAACCCTATTCCTCTCTGATTTTCATTCATTCTACAAACGGCGGAGCAAAGATTATCTTTTTATTATTGTCCCTTCATTTTCTTTTTAATTTTATGAAGTTGAATTGCCTCTTGAGATGCCTTTGATTCATATGCTATGAGTTATGGGTTATCTCATAATCTATCGTAAAAGGGGCATAGATTTTTCGCAGGCATGTTGAGTCACTTCGCCTTTGAATTTTCACTCCAGGCGCAGTGAATATTGAGACTGCCAAATCACTTTTTATTTTTTAATCTTCAATTTTGTGGCAAACATTTTTCTTAATTTTCTTTTCTTGGGTTAAAATTTATGGGATCCTATGATGGCATGAAATCTTTGAGACCTGATTGTCTAATTTGATGACAACTACAAGCATACTCGCTGAGGATCTTCATCAAACTTTCATTTTTGGAATTTTTTATTTGTGGAAGGGAAAAGCAAAATAGATTTGAATGATGAAATAAGCACTGGGCTCTGAGCAGTTATACAAATGAACTGCTATTTGATGCACAATGCTAGCCTAGAAAGCTATGTCTGACTGTTTTTTCTTTCTCTTCAACTTTATTGTGTGGTAAGATGTGATGTCTTGGTATGAATGTGCATGATTATGTAATCTAAATTTGAAAATTTTGGTTTTGTTTTGAGTTTGGATTATAATTCTAGGTTTGTGCTATATGTTTACGACAGTTGTGGAAATTTATTGATTTTTTTTTTTAAGAATATTTTTTTCTTAAAATTGTGCATGTTGATATTTTTGGTTAAAATTATAGAATGATTTTCTAATAAAAATCATTAAAATAAATATGATATACTTAATTAATATTTTAAGGAACTTACAACCTTGTTTTTATTGAATCTTTCTAATATGGCTGTTCGAAATCATTTTGAAGTAACATACTAAAATGGATTGGATTCACTACGTTCCAAAATTCAAATTTATTTGAAGTCATTTGAAGTAATGGCTCTAAGGGATTAATGTTTTATAAAAACTATATATATTGTTATTGTAGTCATTTTTTTTTCTTTAATATTTTTATTTACTTTTAAATGCTTAGGATACTATTTGGTCTCAGTAAAAAAAAATATATATATACTATTTAGTCCTTGATTATTTTTTAAGAATTTTAAATCTTTATATTAAAAAATGTTAGCCTTTCATTTTTTTAAATTTTATTTCTGAAGTTAGAATTTTGTTTGCAACTTTTGAAATCTTACAAAATATTTTTTTTATAAGAATGATGATATAAAATAATAATTTAATATGATTATTTAGATATATAGTTATTAAAATTATTTTATGAAATTTCATATGTTGTAAATGAATTTTATAACTACAAGATTAAATTTGTAAAATATAAAAAATAATTAAGGAC